GATAGACAGACAGATGAGAGAAATATATATATAGATATTAAGAGACAAAGATAGATAGATGGATAGATAGATAGATAGATAGATAGATAGATAGATAGATAGACAGACAGACAGACAGACAGACAGATAGATAGATAGACAGATAGAATGATAGATAGATAGATAGATAGATAGATAGATAGATAGATAGATAGATAGATAGATAGATAGATAGATAGACAGACAGACAGACAGGTAGGCCGGCAGGCAAGCAGGCAGGCAGGCAGTATTAGTAGTAATACTAATAGTAGTAGTAATAATAATAATAATAATAATAATGCTGGAAGGGACCTTGGAGGTCATCTAGTCCAACCCTGCTCAGGCAGGAAATCCTCAACCATTTCAGACAAGCGACTGCCCAGACTCAGTCCCAGGGGCTATGGGGGAAGCCCTGAAATATCAGCTGAAGAGGAGATGGCCTCGGGGGTTGCTAGGAGTTGATGGCTGGAACCTGAGAATGATTTAGTTACTTCCTTGTTCGGTTCAAGGGGCTGGGGGCTACCTGTCCAGGGGCCCAGGCTATTTACAGGATCCAGTCTCCCCCACGATGCCTCCCTGTCCCATCAGGTGAGTCCTGTCTGGATTAAGGAGCACACACACACCCCCTGCACCTGTCCCACCGAACATCCCCCCCCCTCCGAAGTTTCTATCTGTCAGATTTATAGGCTGCCCCTCTGGCTCTCTCGGGGACCCTGAGGCTGAACTGGCCTCCCTCCTGCTGGCTGAGATGCTCACCTTCCCCACCCTGGATCAGAAGGGCTGCCCCAGCCTGGAAATGAGCCCCAGTTCCATATTTGCATTGTACCCCCAGGTGGTCTGTCTGTCTACCTATCCTATCTATCTCATCTATCAATTATCTATTTATCATCTGTATCCATCTGTCTGTCTATCTGCCTATCATCCATCCATCCATCCATCATCTATATCTGCCTGCCAGCCTGCCTGCCTGCCTGCCTATCTATCTGTCTGTCTGTCTGTCTATTATCTATCTGTCTGTCTGTCTATCTATCTATCGATCTATCTATCTATCTATCTATCTATCTATCTATCTATCTATCTATCTATCTAGTCTATCTTTCTGTCTGTCTGTCCGTCTGTCCGTACGTCTATCCATCCATCCATCCATCCATCCATCCATCCATCCATCCATCATCTATATCTGCCTGCCTGCCTGCCTGCCTGCCTATCTATCTATCTATCTATCTATCTATCTATCTATCTATCTATCTATCTATCTATCATGTCTATCCATCCATCCATCCATCCATCATCTATATCTGTCTGCCTGCCTGCCTGCCTATCTATCTATCTATCTATCTATCTATCTATCTATCTATCTATCTATCTATCTATCTATCTATCATGTCTATCCATCCATCCATCCATCCATCCATCCATTATCTATATCTGCCTGCCTGCCTGCCTGCCTGCCTATCTATCTATCTATCTATCTATCTATCTATCTATCTATCTATCTATCTATCTATCATGTCTATCCATCCATCCATCCATCCATCCATCATCTATATCTGCCTGCCTATCTATCTATCTATCTATCTATCTATCTATCTATCTATCTATCTATCTATCTATCTACCTATCTATATCATCTATCTATCATCTATTTATCTATATCATCTATATTTATTTATCGCCCCTGCTGGTTTTCTCTTTATTTTATATTTTTATTGGGCATTTAACTCTTCTTTAAATAATTCTTTTTTATTGGATTTTGACTTGTTCAAGGTGGGTAGCCATATAAGTAAATTATAAAATAAAAAACATAACAATGCAGTAATAACTCAAAGGCATTTTATGTGGGTTTTTTTTTCCCTCTTCCCCTTTTCTGCCTTCTAAGAAATGGAAGCGGGGCAGGCAAGGGCTGGGCCCTTTTCTTCCGGGGAACGATGACAGGGGATTGCACAACGAACCCACTGTCTGGAGGCCTTGGCTATTTTCAGAATTAACACTGCAGCTGTTCATGGGAGCAAAATCATAATCACCACATTTTAGGTGTTGATTACGATCCTTCAACCCTCCAAGGTGGTTCTCCTCCTGCAGGAATTGAATCAACCTTCTCCAGCCAAAAAGCCTTATTTACAGATGGAGAATGAAGATAGTTGGAGATTCCCTCTTTACTTGCCATGAGTTTACATTCCCAGGACTAGAGGAATCGCACCCAGGGCTACGGGTGGGACCTGCAAATGGCCTGTCCAGACTTCTAATATCAACAGATGAAGCGCCAGATGTTTAGGGGAGACCTGACGTTGTCTTGGCCTTCAAAAAGGGGAAGATCCAGCAAGTGACAGATCTTTTACTGATCTCTGGAATAGATTTCAAGCAGATGCTCGCAATCTCGGTGAGCATCTTGAAAAAACAGGTTGTGGTCTTCAGCAGAAGTCCACACACATTTCTGAGAAGGAATCTCACCAGAGACACCTTATCTTGTGTTCAGATGGCTTTCAAGACACGGTGTGACCCTCCGGAGATTAATCTTGCTTTCAGCCGAGAAGTGCTCGAAACAACTCATGACTTCCTGGTTGGGAAGGAACCAACACAAGTTCTTGGGGACCTGACAATCTTACAATTCAGTTGCAAAATGCAATTCAGAAGCGCGCTGGTCACATCGTGGCAATTCTGCAAATCGGTCTTGTGTCTGTCCACTTGCCCCAGATGCTCAGTGGCCCATTGGAGTCCCTTCTTGAGATTCTTCTCTTGGGAGAGACTTGCAAGACTGATGCCATCTCCATAACTTCTCCATAAATGACTTAGAGGAGGGGATAGATGGGGAACTCATCAAATCTGCAGACGACACCAGGCTGGCAGGAGTAGCCAACGCTCCAAAAGACAAGTTCAGGATCCCAAAGGATTTGAACAATGGGCCCTAGCTAGTAAAATGAAATTCTGTGGTGAGAAAAGTAAGGTTTTACACTTAGGCAAGAAAAACCACATGCACAGCTATAGTAGAGGTGGTTCCTTGCTCAATAGTAGCAACTGTGAGAGGGATCTCGGAGTCCTAGTGGACAATCCCTTAAATAGGAGTCAACCGTGGGCGTCAGTTGCCAAAAAGGCCAACACAGTGCTGGGCTGCATTAACAAAGCAGAGGGAATCAAGGCCATATGAAGTGTTAGTACCACTTTACAAGGCCTCGGTAAGGCCACACCTTGAAAGCTACATCCCATTTAGTCACCACAATATGAAAAAGATGTTGGAACTCTAGAACAGTGGTGGCAAACCTATGGCATGCGTGCCAGAGGCAGCACTCAGAGTCCTCTCTATGGGCACACGTGCTGTCACCCCAGTCCTAGGCTTCAGCTGGGTTTTAGAAAAGCTTTTCGCTTTAGGCCTCCACGCCGTGTGCCAAAAAAAAAAAAAAAAAAAAGGCTCAATCAGTCAATTTCAACTTCTCAGGGAAAAAAAAGATCTTGCAAAGTTGGAATTGATTGATTGAACTTTTTAGTCCCACCCATTTCCAAGATTTCCCTTCACTGCCTGACTTGTTCTCCAGAGCATCTCAGGCCCTGGATGGGGCTCTTCTCTGGGAGAATCATCCTGGAAATAAGGAGAGATTTCCGCAGAAGGTTTACCTGGGAGAGGTTGCCTGCTGGAGCTGCGGGTGCTCCATCGCTGGAGGTTTTCAAGAAAAGGCCGGACAGCCATTTCTCCTTCAAACGTGGCCCTTTGATGACTTGGGGACTTCCAGAGTTAAATGCCCAATAAACCTGGCCCCCCTAAAGGCCCCCCTGGTGGGACTGGGGCAAGGTGACTTCACTACTCTGGACTTCAACTCCCAGAATCCCCCAGGAAGGCAGTCTGACTCAGGGCCTCCCAGGGTAAGGGCGGGGGGAGGGCCTGCTATCTGCCTTCTGGAGCGCCCCCCGACCCAACCCCCACCCCCTGGTTCCCAGGGCTCCTTCGCCTTCTGAAGAGACCCCAAAACCCAGCCCAGCCTGCTGAATTTCACTGGTGGCCTGGAGGCGGGGGGGTGGGGTGGATGGGGGGGTGGATGCAGATATTGCAAGTTTTCCTGGTTCCCCCCCCCTCCTTTCTCATACGACCCCTTCAAGCGAGAAGGCAGAAATTCTGGGGAGGGGTCTTCGACTTACTAGCCCAAGAGAAACCCCTGTTGCCCCTCCCCCACCTGTCCACAGGACCCCCCCCAGTGTAATCACGTGTTTGGAAGGAGACCCCGGGAGAGGAGCGGAAGGGAAAGGAGCCCCACCCAGAGGAGAGGCGGGAGGGGAGCCCCTGGGCCTCAGTTTCCCCACCTGGGCGACTGGGAAAAGAGTGGACTTCAACTCCCAGAAGCCTTTGCTGGCTGTGGAATTCTGGGAGTTGAAGTCCGCACCGCTTCAAGTTGCCCAGACGGAGAACAGAGTAGAAGAACAGGACAGAATGATAACTTTATTGTCCCTCTAAATGTATACTGATCTTCATACTTTAGAGAGAGATTTCTTTGCGTACGAAAACGCTGCTGCTTCTGGGCAGCTTCGTCTGCCTGGATGTCCGAATTTCTCAGACCACTGCAAGAAACGCCACTCAGATTCAAATTAAAATGTGTGTGTGTCTGTGTGTGTGTGTGTTCTAGCAGATTCCACGATTCTGCATTGGTCCCCAACCAGCCGCAACACTTTGTCCCAAAATAAACCAGAACATAGAATAACAAAGTCGGAAGGGGCCTTAGAGGTCATCTAGTCCAGCCCTTTGCTTCTTGCTCCTCCCCAGCTGGGGAGGGCTTTTCAGAGATGGGGGGTGCAACCCCTCCCTCCCTCCTCCCCCCCTCTCGTTGGGTGTGAAGGGGGCAGGGGATGCTGGGATGCTCCCCCTTGGGATCCGGTGGGCTGACTTTGCTGCTTCCACAAAATTCAGGCTTTGGGGCTTCCTCACACCAGATTACGCCCCCCTCCCCCTTGCAAGGCTAATTCCTCTGGGTGGCAATAAACAGAAGGCACTCTGCACATGCTTGAACAAACATAATGGTTTAATAATGGTTTCTCCTTTGGTCAAAACTGGTTATGGGCCTCTGCCGATGGGGGAGACGTGCTCTCTGCTTGCATGGAGGCCGTTCAAGGCGGGGTGAGGGCACGGATGCGATCCTGGACCCATTGTTCTGACGGATCAGCACAGATCGTTCTGCCTTTTTTTGTGATGAATCTGCAAAGGAAATGTCTGCATGTCATGTAATATAACTATATGTAAGAGAACACTGCATATCTGCAGAAATACACATGACCCAAGACAAAATCTCTCCAGAATGTATATGGGTCCATATAAAAGAAAACAAAAGTGACATTGCCATAGGTCCATGCTACAAGTCACCCAACGAAGCAGAAGAAATAGATGGAGTCTTTGCTAATCAATTAACAAAGGTGTGTAGGAAACACACCACAGTAGTAATGGGAGACTTCAACAAACAGATTCCTAACCAACCTAGCCGACAACTTTGTCACCCAAAAGGTGGAAGAGGGAACTAGACATAAAGCCACACTGGACCTAATTCTTACTAATAGAGAAGAAGTGATAGAAGGAGCAGAAATTGCTGGAGCCATGGGGGAGAGTGACCACGTCATGCTGGAGTTCCAGATGATGCAAACACAAGCAATAGAAAATAAACCAACCAGTGTCTTAATCAAGACCACGGCTTAGCCCAGTGTGTCTCCACCTTGGGCCAGGCTGGCTGGGGAATTCTGGGAGTTGAAGTCCACCCCTCTTAAAACGCCCAAGATTGAGACCTACTTAGTTAGCAATTTGGTGAGAAGGAAGCTTAGAGGGTCTCCTGAACCTCTTGCAATGCTGAGCCCAGCAGACCCTCAACAGCCATTCTGGGAAACTTACACGACGGCCGGCTTGCTGCATCTGCCATTGGTGTATTCAAAAGATTTCAACCGGCTCAGTGGGACCGGACGTGTCATGTAGGCAAAGCAGCAACGGGTGGGCCCAGGATCCACTGGAGAAGAGAAGGAATGATGGATGCCACACCATTGGATGGTGAAGCTCTCTTTCCCCCCCCCCTCCCCCCATCCTGGGGTGGGCAGAAAACTCTCCTGGGTAAGATTTGCAGCGCAAGAGCAACGAAGTTGGTTAGGGGGCTGGAGGCTGAAATGTATATGAGGAAGGGCTGCAGGATTTGGGTATGGCCAGTCTAGAGAAACATAGGGGGGACATGACAGCAGAGCTCCAGTATTTGAGGGGCTGCCACAGAGAAGAGGAGGGGGGTCAATTTATTCTCCAGAACACTGGAAGGAAGGACAAGAAGCAACGGATGGAAACTAACCAAGGAGAGAAGCAACCTGGAATTAAGGAGAAACTTCCTGACAGTGAAGACAATTAACCAGTGGAACAGAAGTTGCCTTCGGAGGTTGTGGAGGCTCTTAAGAAGAGACTGGACAACCACTGGTCTGAAATGGTATAGGGTCTCCTGTTTGAACAGGGTGCTGGTCTAGAAGACCTCCAAGGTCCCTTCCAGTGCTCCGAGGGTCTCCATAGATCCAACAGGAAAGGTTTCCCTTGTGGACACCACAGGACTTGTCTTCATGTGTTGATCGGACTGACCACACCAGGTCTGCATGACTTCCCAGCTGGAGACCTCCCCTCCCCCAAGCAAGGATGCTGTTCAGCTCAGAGCCTTCCTCAAAGCTGGCCTGGGGTCCTGGGGGTCCCCAGCTGTGCCCCGTTACATGGCTCCTCTTATGGGGAGAGGGGTGATGCCCTCTCTCTAACCCCCCCCCCAAGTACCACCTTGGAAAGGATAGGGGACCCTGCCTTTAACTGCCCGTCTCCACCCTGGTCCGGCCCAAAGACATCGCAGTGGGGCAGGAGATCCCCAGGGCTCCCCCAGAGGAAGGGGCTGGGCTAGGGCCACAGGGCGTCTCTCAGGGTCAGGAGGCAGATTGGGGCAGATTTTGTTACGCTGAAAAGGGGAGGAAAGAGAGACTTACCCTTCTGGTCATTGGGCTGGGTCGAAGGGGTTGCACCTGAAAGAGAGAGATGGGGGGCATTGTGACTCCCCCAATTCCCCCCCCCCACGCCCGTGGCTGAGAACTGAGCCGCCCGTGCCAGGGGTAAACCCTCCAGACAATCACCGGGGCCCTCCGGAGGGTTGCAAGGGGGGGGGCTGGAGAAAGCCAAGCGGATCAGAGACTCACTGAGACCCTCGACAGCCAGAGTGACAGAGACCATCAGGAACAGAAAGGTGAAGAGGGTCTTCATCCTCGGAGATGGGAGGGAGAGCAGCTCCGGTCTTATCTCGGGGGTATCGGCACTGGGTGCCCAACGCCGCTCGGCTTCCAGATGCCTCTTTATAGGAACCGGCAGCTGCAGCTGTGGGAAACACGTGGTGGGCTCCCCCCCCAGGGCGTGACCACAAAGCTGGGGGGCCAGTGAGGCTGTGAAGGAGCATTTTGCACACTGAAGCAAAGTCTTGAGTGACATCGCGATGGAAGGTCAGGAAGTCCATCTGAAGAGGCAGCATCCACCCACCCATCCATCCATCCATCCATCCATCCAATGTTTACTGGAAGATCAACCATGATTTGGGGACTGGAGGCTAAAACATATGAAGGACGGTTGTAAGAATTGGGTATGTCTAGTCTAATGAAGAGAAGGACGAGGGGGGACAGGATAGCAGCGTTACAGTATCTCAGGGGCTGCCCCAAAGAAGAGGGAGTCAAGCTATTCTCCAAAGCACCAGAAAGGCAGGACAAGAAGCAACGGGTGGAAACTAATGAGGAGAGAAGCAACCTAGAACTAAGGAGAAACTTCCTGCCAGTTAGAAAATTAATCAGTGGAACTCCTCGCCTCCAGAAACTGTGAATGCTCCGACACTGAAGGATGTCAAGAAGAGACTGGACAGCCATTTGTCTGAAATTGTATAGGGTTCCTGCCTGAGCAAGGGTTGGACTATAAGACCTCCAAGGTCCCTTCTAACTCTGTTATTCTGTTCTCACAACTGATAAGCCAGCTCAACCGTACCCACAAGAGCTTCTTAAAAAGAGGAAGTTGCAATAGGTCCACCAAAAACGATCCAACTGAGTTCCATGAGGCATTGGAACGAGGAGATGGAGAAAATGGGTGGGTCTGTCAGAAAAATCAAGATAGCAGCCAGAATTGTTTTTTTTTTTAAAGGCTACCATGGCATGGTTTCAGTTGCCATTTTGATCTTTTTTGACCCCCCTGCTTGCAGACACTCCTGGACATTTCTAGCTGAAATAGAAAACACCCTAGAACAGCATTGCTCACTCTCAGGGACTATAAGATGGGAGTAATGTGGAATAATGAACAATCACTAGAATAATGATGTGTCTGCATAATTCCTGGAATAGTGCTGTGTTAGTAGTATGTGACTAACCTAATGCGCATTGCACTTGGATACAATGTATGTAGTAAACTCTCCATTGTATACCCGTGAGAAACGAACCTAATGTATTACAATGTGTATTACAATGTGTATTCCTTTGTTCCTGAGAAAAAGAAAGTATAAAATTGAAGTCTGAACTCGCCCTCGGGGTTCAGAATTGCTTGTTGCTATTGCTTCTGAACCTGTGCAATAAATCTCTCTGCTAAAACCCTCTGGAATTCGTAAGAGTCCTTTCGTTTTCCACAAGATTTCTGGCGACTCCGCCAAGACTCTTAGGAAGAGTCCGTTGACCTTCCAGATGGACTGCCCTGGTGGGTAGCCCCTCTCCTAACTACGACTCCTCCAAGCCGGCTCCGTGGCCTTTGTCTATGGGGAGACCTTGATGGGATGGGAGGGGAACTCACCCGCCAGCGAAGCACTGCAGTCAAGGATCCACTGAGGGTAGCAGACGGGTCTTTAATCCATGGAAGGGTCTGGAACGCCTGCAGGCAAGTATTATAAAAGGGGATACCTGATCCCGTTTGGATCGGAAGAGGGGATTGATCACCCCCTAGAAGACAAGGCGGCGTCCTTAAGTCTTCAATAGGTAGGATTGTGTGGGTGGTTAAACCATCGCATTTCCTGAAGAGTGACCGTTGGAACATGCGGCACTCCAGATCGGTGGTAGTGTGTTACGGAGAAATGGGAGGAAACCAGACTAAGAAGGGCGTTGGTTAGACGCCGCTTCAGTGTATGTTAGGAAATTTCAAAAAGGATTTTTCTAGGGATTATGGGGACCCAGCCATGTTAAAAAGATTCTGTGAATCTGAATGGACCACCTTTGGCATAGGGTGGCCCAAAGAGGGATCAGCGAATCCCGAACTTGTGGCACAGGTTCATCAAATTGTGACTGGAAGTGGTCATTGGGACAATATTTATTTATTTATGAGACTTATATACTGCTTTAAGTGCAAGCACTCTCTAAGCGGTGTACACCAGTAAGCAATGTATATATATATATATATATATATATATATATATATATATATATATATATATATATATATATATATATATACATTGCCCCCAACAATCTGGGTCCTCATTTTACCTACCCCGGAAGGATGGAAGGCTGAGTCAATATCCCTATATAGACCAATGGCAGATCAATATTGAAGAAAAGCCTCGATGGTTAGCAAAGTGTCAGATAGAATGTGCTAAAATATATTTGGCAAACCAAAAAGCCAACTCTCAGACAAAAGCTAAGATTTTGAGCCAGGAAGAAAGGGAGGGAGTTGCCAGGCCCCCACCCTATGTTCCTAGAAGAGAAGATGGGGAGATATAGCAGCAAATTCCATCCCCTCCGGTTGAAAGAAATGAAGTCCACCTTCAACCAGAAGCCGATGTGAAAAGAAAGATAAAAAAAGATAGAACCGTTCAGAAGAAAGATCAGGACTTGGATAGCGATGATAGCAAAACATCAGTTACAGCTTCATAATTTAGCTGTTTCAAATTTGCGCCATTATATGATGGAACAACATCCCCCTCCACTGGTCACGGCAACACATGGGTTCAAACCAGGAGATAGAGTATAGGTAAAACACTGGAAATCAGATCCCTTGAGCCCAAGATGGAAAGGACCATATATTGCTGTCATGTGTTCTCCTTTGGCAGTGAAAACCTTGGAGGGAAAGTCCAGGGTCCACTGGAGTAGATTGAAAGTAGCTGCACCTGCCGATCCAGTAACTTACAAGGTAGATAAAATTGACAAACCTTTAGTGTTAAAATTTACAAGAAATACACCCTGTCGAACCCTACCGGCAACGGGTTCTCAACACACGGTGTGAACATCAGATCTTGCTGAGACACTCCGGAAGCTATCTCTCTACGCATGGTGGAAGACGTGAGGATTCTACATTTCGTAATATCTGTTAGTTATTTAATATGGGAATATAAAATGTTGCCCTCTAAAGATCCTGAATTGGAGATAGAATGGGGCCGCGGAGGAGGGCCTTCTCTGTGATGGCGCCCACGCTTTGGAATCAGCTCCCCCCGGAGATTAGGACCGCTCCCACCCTGTTGGTCTTCCGTAAGCTACTTAAGACCTGGCTTTTCCGGCAGGCCTGGGGTTTATAAAACCTTACCCCTGGATGATTGTTTTTGTATTGTTTTGTTATGTTTTATGTGTTTTTTATTGTTAGCCGCCCAGAGTCCTTCGGGAGTGGGGCGGCTTATAAATTAAATAAAAATTTAATTAAAAATAAAATAAAAATAAAATAAAATAAAAATTTTATTAAAAATAAAATAAATAAAATAAATGATGGAAGTTTAAGTAGGAAAACTTCCAAAGGGGGGAATAATGTGGAATAATGAACAATTACTAGAATAATGATGTGTCTGCATAATTACTGGAATAGTGCTGTGTTAGTAGTATGCGCATTGCACTTGGATACAATGTATGTAGCAAACTCTCCATTGTATACCCGTGAGAAACAAACCTAATGTATTACAATGTGTATTTCAATGTGTATTCCTTTGTTCCTGAGAAAAGGAAAGTATAAAATTGAAGTCTGAACTCGCCCTCGGGGTTCAGAATTGCTTGTTGCTATTGCTTCTGAACCTGCGCAATAAATCTCTCTGCTAAAACCCTCTGGAATTTGTAAGAGTCCTTTCGTTTTCTGCAAGAGGAGGACTTCCAGAATGCACCGGGCAACATGCCGGACTTCTTGGGGTGAAATAATACTGATAGGCTGATGATATCCAGGTTTTATCTCCACCGCAGACGGCCCAGGTGGCGGTCATGTCTCAGCGCCTGAGGTGGTGAGGGTCTGGGGGGGGGGCTGCAGCAGCTTCAGCTCGAGCGAGTGAGACCGAGAGGCTCTGGGTTCTTGGATCTCCCATCCCTGGTCTTGGAATGGGGGGGGCGGTGCCTCAGCCACAACAATCTGAGGGCTCCCCTGGCCTTAGGGCTCCGGGTCAAAAGGCGGGGGCAACACACCTACAAGGTGCCAGCTGCTTCCATTCCTGCACCGTCACCATCACCCATGCCCTTGTAAACCTCTTGTCTGGATTACTGCAATGCACTCTGCATGGAGCTACCCTTGAAGAGTGTGCAGGAGTTTCAACTGCTGCAGAATGCAGCTGCATAGATGGTGCGTGTGGCATGTGGCATGTGGCATAGATGGTGCTCCGTGGGCTGCGTGGGTGGCCAGATTGCTTCCAGGTGCAGTTCAGGGTGCTGGTTGTCACCTTTAAAGCCCTTCACGGCTTGGGACCAGGTTAACTGGGGGGGGGGGTTGTTCGTGTTTTGGTGTGTGTGTGTGTGTGTCCTGTTATTTCTACCCATCCAGCCTGGTCAGGCAAGATGGGCCTCCTCTGGATCCCCTCCATTGACCAAAGAAAGCTGCTAGGTGGAGCCTATGCCAGGGGTAGGCCACCTTGGCTCCCTTCATGACTCGTGGACTTCAACTCCCAGAATTCCTGAGCCAGCATGGGGGAACTATGGCCCCCTCATGACTTGCGGACTTCAACTCCAGAATTCCTGAGCCAGCATGGGGGAACTACGGCCCCCTCATGACTTGCGGACTTCAACTCCCAGAATTCCTGAGCCAGCCTGGCTCAGCTTGGCAACCTCTCCCTTTCCCCTCAGTATGGCTGGCTCAGGAATTCTGGGAGATGAAGTCCACGAGTCATAAAAGAGCCCAGGTGGCCTACCCCTGGCCTAGACCAAAGTTACAACAATGCACTGAACAATGTGACTTATGACCAGTTTCCGCACTTACGACCGTTGCAGCATCCCTGTGATCACGTGATCAAAATTCAGACGCTTGGCAACCGGCTCATATTTATTTATTTAGTGTCCTGATGATCCAAGGACTGGAGACTAAAACATATGAAGAACGCCTGCAGGACTTGGGTCTGGCTAGTCTAAAGAAAAGAAGAAACAGGGGAGACATGATAGCAGCGTTCCAGTATCTGAGGGGCTGCCACAAAGAAGAGGAAGGGGTCACGTTATTCTCCAAAGCACCAGAGGGCAGGACGAGAAACAGCGGTTGGAAACTGACCAAAGAGAGAAGCAACCTGGCATTAAGGAGAAACTTCCTGACAGGGAGGACAATTAACCAGTGGAACCGCTTGCCACTAGAAGTTGTGGGTGTTCCATGATTGAAGGTTTTTAAGAAGAGGCT